ATTGGGGGAGGAGGGGAAGCAGAATGGGTCAGGGGAGGGGTGGTGGAAGCGCCTCTGCCTCATTTTGCTATGAGAGATAGACCTGCCAAATAGAAGTTTTAAGGAAAAAAATTACAAAAACCCCTATTGACAGAACTTTCTTTACATTATCCCCCCACCCACTTTTTTTATCTTAACTTTTACCCTAGAACTAATATTTATAGCAAACCCCCCCCCCCCCCTCCCCACCTAAAGTAAAAAATTCATAGTTTGGAGGACAAAAATTTCCTTGCCTGTACATGAAGGCATCACATTCGTGTGGAGATTCAAACATCACAAATGGTCCAGCACATATTACTGCCAAACCGGAACCCATATCACACTAACTGCTGGACCACGCACCGCATGTAGTTTATGCCTGTCCAAGGCATCATAGTGCCAAACCAAGGTATCATAGTGCCAGGCCGACAAAATATATTGCCGGATTGCTTTAGGAATTGGCAGACCATAGGCCTTGCAAGAAACACTCTTGGACCACATGGAAAATATGTCGGACCGTATGGAGCATAATACCAGACTATATGACAAATATACAGCACCATACGACACATGTTGTTGGACACATTTACAAGTGCCGGACTGATGGCATTCAACGACCAACTGCTGAAGAGAGGCAAGGACAATACTAAGGGGAGAGCATTTTGGTCATAAGAACTATGACTTTTTGACTTGGGGGGTAGTTGCTATAAAAGTTTATTTTAGGGTAAAAGGTGTGATAAACAAATTAGTTGGGGGAGGTTGTCTAGAAAGTCCAATTTGGTATATGTAATTTTCCCAAGTTTTAATCTGTATATGCAACTTCAATTGATAGGAGCTGATACCATTAGTCTACGGTACTAGAAGTTGCCTTTCTGTAAAAATAATTAAAATCACTCTGCCCTATTTTTTCTCTCTTCCATACCTAAATAGATAAGAAGTGGTTTCTCAAAAGAATCATCATCATCATAGTAATTTCTCAAGCAATTGGGATCGGCTACACGAATCTTGGTCTGCCATTCTGCTTTATTAAAAGCCATAACATCAGTGAGGCCAGAAGTCCCCATATCTTTTCAGACTATTTCCAACAATGTCCTTTTGACCCACCCCTTGCCTTTTTCAGTCATTCCACTTGAACTAACTCGCACCTCCTAA